ATTAATGTATATGTTACCTTCATTGGCAACTTGTTGCCAACCACCACGCAATGAGTGGTTGCCTTGCTTCCAGAAGCTTCTTGGTTCTGCCCAGAAAGGCAGCTGGGTCATTTTTGAGGTACTATCAAAAATCGTATTTTTTACCCAGAAGATGGCCGCTGTGGGATTAGTTTAGATGGCGATCGGAAAGAGCTAAGTCAGGGCTATACAGGATCTCGAGCAGTGTCATTTTCCAAATGTGTGACCCTGGTGGAGTAAGGCAAACATTGCTCGGTTTTAGGACCAAATGGTAGGGATTTTCAACCCCCCCCCCCCTTTGCAGTTGATTACAATAGGGTTCCCTGGTTACCACAGCGTTGGAAGGAAGAAATTCCGTTTTGGGAAGGGAGAAAGAAACCCCACCACATACACAGTCTCACCGCCCTACTGGATTGATAGGATTGCGCGATCGGTTCTGCCCTTTCTGGGGGATCTAGCCGCTGGCGCTCCCAGGAGTGATTCACTAGAGACACCCACTCCATATCGTGCTGTTCAACCAGTCCGTACAGCGGAAGCGGGAGAAAAGTTGTAGACAGTACCCACATGTGCTCCCCTTGGAGTACTGGTCAACTCATGAGAAAAATTTTTGACCGAACTTCAGAACTTTTCTAAGGGAGCGAGGCCCTCTCTCATTTGTGCTTTGGGACCAGTCAAGTGTAAGGACTAGATAGCAAGTTGATTTGTACGAATTGGTTTTAATCAAGGAACACAGTAGGTCCAAATCCAAGGCAGGTGGCCTCCTTGGACGAAGTTTTTCTCCCAGGTAGAAGTCACTCAAGCGGAAGCGATCGGGCCTTTCACCATACTGTGGAAGGTACCACCAGAACTTAACTCAGAGAAATGCGGCTTGTGCTTTCTTGAAGCACCTCCTATAGGAAACATAACTGGATCTCGAAATGGCTAAGGAAAGATCTGATACGAGATTCAAAAAATGTTCACGAACTTTTGGGACAACCTAATAGATGACTTCATCTGAAACGTCAGTACCAGTATTGCTTTGACGTAGTAGTGTTTTGTGACGACAAAGACACAAAACACTTTAACCACGTGTCTTGAAACGTGTCACGTCATCTATCTCTTAACAGGTAACGTTGTGCTTCATCGGCACGTGATTTGTAAAGTAACATTTGCCAAGAACTAGACAACAAAGAGTTTCCAGCCTCCTGGTGATGGCAAATCCTTTCAGAATGCGACCAAATTGAGCCCCGTCAGACTCGTAACGCAACGAAATTTGTTGAGCTGTGCGGTGGAAAGAGGATATGGAAACCGACTGGGAATGGCGTCCTTCATCTGGATATCTCACGCTTGAGTCAGAGACTCATCAATGAGTTGTTCCAGGACATCACCTATATAAAGATGTGCATCACTCTACGCCGTTCACAAATCAAGTATCTTCGAATGAAATACTTGTCTGAGCTGCACTCGTGCGAAGCAGGTAGGAAAGAACATTTTGTTTCTTAATCCCATACCCGTTCTTTTGAAGCGTGACACGTGAATACCTCAAGATCCCCGAGATACGGTAGACGTGGTTGCGGACTTGAATTGAACGCGGCGACGGTCAACGGTTCGAAGTTTTTGCGAAATTTTTCGCTTTGTGACAGTAGTAGTCATGTCTAACACAACACAGAACAAGATGACAGTTGTCTTAAATTGAAATAATCTACGAGTAGCCCATCCCATGCCATTTTCAAGTGTAACGCTTACTCCGTCTCAGGGATAAGGAGTGTTTACGTGAATATTCTGTTTTAGTGTTCAACGCTTCGACTGAATTGCCGCCTTCATAGGGTTCACTTGCCACCTGGCCGGTCAAGCGCGCTATCGTAGTAGGCTGTCTTCGACAGTTCCTAAACCCGTGGAAGGGAGTCACAGTCGAGCCCCATTCACTGCACCTTCAGCGCCACCGATACCGGCGTTTACTTCGAGCAGGTCTTGCTCGCTGCGGATGCTGGGGAATTCTATGCGTCTGGGTATCAGTGCGGCCAAAGCGTTCTACAACTTTGATACGTGCGGCAAGCGACAACATCTGGTCGAGTACGAGTTGGCGCCGTGCCGAATGCAGACACCTTACACGACCTATCACCCGCAGCGAACAAGACGCTTGTAAATTAAAGATGATGCATACAACATGTGTCTAATACGCACGGGGACATAAGCACTCAAGGCCACTGGTAATCATCACGCATGAAATCCGGCTGTTCAGGGTAAGGGTCTCGCAAGCGGGTAAAAGAAGTTGAGGCTGTGTTCATAATTCACGGTGCGAGGGTTTCAGCGTACGACAGTAAGGCTGCGTTTATACTTTGCGGCAGCGTAGCGTAGCGCTTCCAGCGTACGCCAGCGGCAGTGCCGGGGAGAGGATGGATATCGATCTAGCGTTCCCAGCGTCACCAGCGTAACGCTAGCGTACGCCAGCGTTTCACCAGCGTTTTGCTGGCGTTTGCAGCGGCAGGGGAGTAGAGACTATGTGGCCGTAAGAGACGCGCAATCGATGTGTATTGTAGAGACTATGTGGCCGTCAGAGACGCGGAATCGATGTGTATTGTAGAGACTGAGGGCGAGTGAGAGACGCGCAATCGATGTGTTTTGTACCCTCCAGCTCTCCCATAGTCTCTACTCCCCTGCCGCTGCAAACGCTAGCAAAACGCTGGTGACGCTGGGAACGCTAGATCGATATGCATCCTCTCCCCGGCACTGCCGCTGGCTACGCTGCCGCAAAGTATAAACGCAGCCTAACTGCTCACGCTCCACTTCTTGTCGTTGCCCGAACGCGGTGAGGAGATGTGTCGCATCTGGTCTGAGGAAATTTTTTTGAATAGTTGGTTTTTCCTGCTTCATATGAAGGGGAAAGGGTCATTTCGCTCGTTGGGAGAGAGGGGGACTACTACTAGCCTTCTGATAGAAATATGTGGCTTGGAAAATTTTTTGCTTGTTGACTTTTCGCGGTTTTCCCTGTTTCGGATTGCTATACACTCCTATACCCCATTTTCATTTTCGCGCAACTCTGAGTGAATAAAGTGACACCCTTGGGCGGCTGTCAAGAGTTCGCCCGTGTTTGAGGGTGCAGCCTCTTCGAGCTTGCCCCTCTTAACACGGGAGAAGCTGTGTCTGGAGCTAAACGGCACGATTCGTGTTGAACGAGTCAAAAAAATACATAATTGAGCGCCAACAAAGACAGAAAGGGGCAAGTGTCAGTGAATATGTAGCAGGGGAGCTCTTCTTCCCTTAGAAAAGTTCTTCTTCCTTTGGATTGTGAAGCTTTTCTTTCCAATGGAAAGGCAAAATAGATCTCATCGCGAGAATTTCTCCCCTGATTTGAAGACACATTTCGCGACAGTATGCTGGGCGGAGACTTACAATCATTGTCTACATCGTTGATGCGATCTCCTTCTAGCACGGCGGAGGAGGAACGTATCAATGGAGAATCAGTGATTATGAGTCCCATGTCTTCCTCCGCCCCTCCGATTGCGACAGAATGTCTTCAAACTTCAGAGGTATTGCAGGTACACATGCTCAAGTTTACTTTGGTTTCAGGTCAACCAGCATTCCTGATCGAAGGCAACATGAAGCTTGAACTCATCCAAGTATCACAGGGATTCAATTGGGGTGTCTCCGAAGAATCATTCCACGTCGTCTATAATCCAGCACTCCGACATTTTCCTAGATTCTCATGCAAATACTGCGTATTTGAATCCGCGTACAAGTACGGTACCATCAGTCTGTCCATCAATAATTTTAGGGTCACACTAAGTAAGAAACCTTGAACTGTAGAAACTTAGACAGTTTCGCCTTTAGGTTAGTTTCACTAGGCCGATAGTCGGATTGTTGTTGAGAGTGAGCGGAAAACTTTGGTTACATAACTAGACAGTGTCCGGTTAGCCGTATTCCACAGTTATTGCATGGGTGGAACCACTTGGACCACAGCGCCTTCCTCAATGGTGCGCTCCTCCTCCTTGTTAAGGTGGGCACTGAGGAAAGCGTAATATTCCGAGTGAGTCCGCCCATTTCTCCAACATAGAATGTACCTCTAAAAAAAGGTCGCACATTCGACATGTAATCGTGGATTGTCGTGTTTTAAAGAAATCCAATTAGGTCATGTCGTACGTTAGCAATCCCCAGAGAAGAGGGTCGTATCTGGTCACGTAGGAGGAAGGGAAGGGGGGGGGAGGTACGTACTTGCCTTCGAGGGAACGTTTCCGTTTGTTGACTTTTTTCAGCTTTTTCGTTTTATATTTGGAGTGAGAAAGAGGAAGGAGGTCGTACTATAGGTGGAAATTTCGAAGGAGGACTTACGAAAATTTGACGGCAAAAATTAATCCGAACGATAGGGCACGCCCGATTAGACTGTCTAGAATTACGCGGATCAGGGAGCGGTGAGATCTCTGGAACAGATACCACTCAGACTACCTCGGAGGAAAAATAGCTCGGTCAGCCGGGGCGTAATTTTATCCGCGGATTTCACAAGGATACCAGCGCAACTATACATAACGTGTTCAAAGTACTAGTCACAACAATTAATTCAAAACCTTCAGTTGGTCAAGTCATGAAAGTCGCTCGCCTACTTTCAGAGTGTGGAGCTGTCGGTCGATCCCTGTCGTACAATTCACTACCCGAGGTGCTACAAATCTGCCACGGAAGACGGAAGCTCACTTTCCGCCATCAAGCTACTGTCACCCAGACACAATTCACACAACTATGCTCTCGAGCTCTCTATCTGGAGACGTGCTTCCAAGTAGTCAATAGTGACTTCACGATAATGAACTGTCCACATTTACGAGCAATAAAACCCTGCAGTCAAGGTAAGCGATTTATAGCGGTTTGCTTCTACAGAGTACTTGTTAGGGTCATGGTAACCAGAAGCTTCGCTGGTTTATACGGTAAGTGCTCACCGATGCGCCCTGAAACAAGCGCGTCGCCCCAAAAATAACATGATGGATCCCTCTGCTGAAATCAGAGAGCCGATCAGCAGATGAAAGAAAGCTTGGAACTTGACGCCCTCTAATGTCGATGACTTGACACTTGTTTTTGGGATGCGCCATACATTGTATTTCCACTCGGAACTGCATTGCCTTCTGAGAGTAATTCGCTCCGCACAGTGCTCACGTGGGTCGTATGGCGTACACCTCAATGCTTCATCCTCTTCGGCGAGCGTGCTACCAGTTTACCGTTCTCAAAGTGAAGAAAGGGGCGCAGTTTGTCGATGGGGGGGGGGCACTTTGCGTGTCGGCCTATATAGACAGCCTTTTCTCAAGTTGACAGGTTTTAACATGATGGCTAACTACCTTGTTCCAGCTTCACAAGAGTTCACAGGTTTCGCCAGAGTGAGACATGTAAACCGGAACTGAGGAAGCAATGATAGTACAAAATGCCCCCCCCCCGTCGACAAACAGCGCCAAAAAAGGCTTTCTTGGCGTTACCAAGAGCCAAAGCGAGTCTAACCACGTGGCCGGGAGCGTGGTGAGAGGCGCCTTTCGCTACTAGACCCTCTCCATTAACCGGTCAGAATATTGAATACGAAATGAAGGGGCCACGCTCACCAGTTGCTACTGTCATTACGCACAATAGTTTAGTGCTGCTTGAAAATAATTGAAGGGGTGCTATATAAAGCGAAAAAGATGAAGCGAAGATATTGACCGAAAACCTACGGAAAACCTTTGAATTGCAATTGGACGAGCATTTTTGGACGAGTTTTCCGATGGCATCATACCAGCAAGCGCTTTCGTAGATACGCCTGCATACACGTATACATATATCCATTTAGCAACGCTTCATATCAGTTGTACTTCATAAATGAAGCGATAAGAGTACCAGCGTCGATGTGACTGTGCGGCCATTTGTGGGCGGGCAGTTGCAGTGGGCGTTCGAGTCGGCATGTTGCATTTTGGTTAGTTTAAAGGCACTTTCCGCGATAAACTAAGGCTAGGTTCTCATAACCGTGCACGATGGTCAAGCAGGCAACGTCAGAGGCTATGCTGCTTTTAAAAGTTGAAAAACAGCAAGCAAAACGCAGGGCGCTCAGGTTTTAGGCCCATTTGCGCCCGATAGGCCCATGCCGGCCTCCAGTGACCGTGTCGTTGTGAGACTGCCATTGCGCTCTCTCGCCCGTCATTTTCTGGCCTCTCTCGTCTCTTATCAGTGTATCGCCGCCTTTTGCAATCCACAATTGATCTTGACCACCTTACGCTCGTCCGGTGATCATGATCAATTGCAATAAAGAGGGTCTTATTCCGGGCGCTTTTTCGTGCTTCCTTCTTCTTCAATAAGTCAACAAACACACGGCAATTCTATTTTTGAACTGTATTACCTATGAAGTGTGGTCGCGGGAATTGCCTTTAAGGGAAAGGCGTCACGCAACACTGGCTGAGGGGCACAATATTTTTTGTGCTGAGCGTATTGACCTTGAACGCCTTGTCGAATTATCGTGCCTCTTGCCGCTAAATATCACCTTTTTCAGGACAACAGGTATTTACAATTATCGGTAATGACATGCTGGAAAGGATCATCATCAATTCAAAAGTCATCTACCCGAGGATAGAAAAGATCATGGTGGTGCAAAGAAATTCACAAGTTCCTCCAGCAAACATTGCACAGCTCAAAAAGATTTGTCCACACTGTCTGATAGAGGGCTTCTTCTCAAGTAAGTTTATTAACAAGTATTACTAACAACATGATGGTACTGGTCATCGCGCGTGCGATGCCCGATGATTTACGTAGGCTGCGCCCGCGATGCCCTTGCCGCACGCGATGCCGTAATTCACCGCGCGGCCGCGTGAGCGCTACAGTGTGGGGCAGTTTGACCCGCACTTTCAACAGGAAACTCGAACACCATAAATTTCAGAGTGCAGGAACGTGGAAAAGGTTCAAACACTGGACGAGTTCATGAAACTATGTGCTGGAGAGAGGCTAATTTCCGCAACTCATGGACTCGTCTTACAGTTCAACTTCACGGAGTCACAGATTAATGAGCTGTTCTCGGGAGCTGTTGAAATAAAACTATGCCTGAATATTCGTGCGTCTAGGATCAGAAGAATAACGTTCCCGAAGTTAACTCGATGGAAGGCATGCCGACCAGGTAGGTGATTTCTGAAATTGGCTTTAATGTTAAGAACGAAGAACAGTCTGATTCGTTCCAAAAGCCATACCTAGTGATCTTGAAGAATGGCTCATTAACGGTTCTGATGAAGGCGTCTCCACCGAAATGTACGTCGTTCAGCAGAGCGATTCACAAACCTCAAGGCTAATTAAGACCTCAGGTTATTGCGGGTGTAATTCAGGCTCCAATCGCGGAGGAACTAGTAGAGTGATTCCGAGCTAGACTACTTGACGCTGCAGTATAGCCGTTTTGAGCGAGTTGAAACCCGGTGCGACTGACCCCGGCCTTCGTGATGCCTCCTTGTCTACAACGCCGCGGCTCGGATGTGCTGAACAACCTTCTCTGTGTAGCTCTCTGACAGCGTAGCAACTAAGAAACTCTGCTTGTTCACGCAGTGGAAACCGATAATTGTGGGGAAATGAGAAACCTCCATGGATTCAGCGGTTATGGGCTAGGTGGCGACAAGCTAGGGCGGATGTCCTTAGTGGAGAAAAATTAGCCACATATCCGCTGTGGTGAAGGTCTCATCGAGAGGAGTCCCCGTTCCGCCACTTGCTTGCGCACCCACTGCCTCTGAGAGACCGCGCAGTGCCCCCGCCCCTAAAACCTCTTTTACCACATTGTGGACCGCCGTACTGCGCGCATTTTCGAAACACTTCATCATTTTTCGTCAATAGTTCGTCATTAATTTCCCCTCATCGCAACTGCTAACGACGGATGTATCTTCCGTAACCGAGAAGGTCCTTTCACAACATTAGGGTACGAAAGAAAAGCCTAATTAATGGAATAAAACACCGTATACTGACAAATGCATGACACACCATGTGTGTCACGCGGTTCGGAACGTGGAAAAAGAAGATTTGTAAACGATCATATTGTAGAGATAGCACTGGAAACAAATCAAATTATACTATATTGCAGGTAAAAATGCCCTCAATTTCATCAACAATCCTTTCTTGGAAAGGGTTAATCTGCCATCATGTACAATGGGTAGATGCATAGAAAGTGGTATCGTTAGCGGAAATCCACGGTTCTCACCCGAGCAAATGCAAAAGCTGCAAAAATGGTGTCCATCTTGTAAGATGGAACCCTACGTACCAGGTGTGTTCATGAAGAATTTTTATTTATTTATTAGAAATTTTGAAAAATTCTGAAGCTGAAACTAGCTGTATGCACTCTATGGCACAATCACGTTCATCATACGATCCGAACATCCGAGTAGGTTGCTGCACTGTGCTTTCCTCGGTGGCGTGCCTTCCTCTTGGGTCGCCTCATGAGTAACGATGATATCTTTTTCTCACTCGAAATATCGCGCTAAAGATGAAAAGTTTTGCCATAGCGTTTTACACTGTTTCGTAGAAAATTCCTTGCCCTATATGGCTGCTGTTTTAGTTTTCTGGAAGTTTCTCTTTCCACTGTTATGTAAGTGCTCAAATTGAAGTGTCAGGTCGACGAAACTGAGCATTTTCAACAGCCTCTCGTTTATACTTCCTATCAAAAACCTAAACCGCACAGGCATAGTTGCAAAGGGTATGGTCAAGAGGCCTCCTAGGGATGCTCACAACGGTAAGAGCGATTCAAATGTTTCAATTTTGACCTTACAGACAAGCATCGAACCTAAGCTGTATTGTGCCCAAATGGGAGCTTACAGAATCATCTCATTCACGGAGATTCATACCAAGGATTGAGGACTTTTTAAAGGTCATCGAATGCTTCCTAATCGTAATGAAGCATCAATTTCGCTTGGATGGAGTATAAAACCTAGTGGGTGGGTTCTGCAGGCAGCCGCTCCCCTTGAGGGCTCCCATGCGACGCATATTTACAAGGTCACACCCCATCTCTTGATCGCTTGAACCACCTTCAAGCTGCCATAAGGCGCATTTTTCTTCGGTCATGTATATCACAAGTTTCGAGCTTCCTCCGTAATTTGATAGCCGAGATAAAGTGCAAACGTTGTCGAAAACTCACTTTGTGTCGACCCGACTCTCCGTTAACAAAAGTCGACGGAAAACAAGAACGTAGGAAGGTTCCTACACTATCTTGGGCAGCGTCCAGACTTCGCGGCGGCAGCGCTTCGGTCGCGCGTTTGACGCGATCAATGCAGTCAAGCATGCGCATCGATCGCGTGGAACGCTCGGCCGAACCGCTGTCGTCACGAAGTCTGAACGCTGCTCATAGAGCGGAGAATTACCTATCATACAGTGTAGAACACATTGGAAGGAATTGTCATTTTCCATATAAAAATCTGCGAGAGAAAAAGGCCATTATTCATGGATCAACCCAATATCTACTTAGTGTAGAGTAGGGGTGCAGCTCAGTGAAGGGGCCTTTGGTGTTATGGCCAGGGCGGCGGTGTCCAAAGTCTTGCTAAGGTCGATCACGGCTTCTTGAAAAAGCGATGACCCATAAACTGGGTTCCTCACATTGAGCGTACAAGAAAACGGAAAAGTACCTCTTGAGAATGTACCATTTCAAGATTGGAAGTATTGGAAGTGAATAGTTATTTTCCTGCTAATATTCAAATTTCCAGCGTGTGGCCTCGGAAACAGAGACTACACTGCGGAGGACTTTGTAAGAGCATGTGCAGGATATGAAGTCATCATACCAAAACCGGGAACACGTGTCGTAATTCATTCATGGACATTGACAGAAAAAGAGATCAACAAATTTTGCTCAAACGCCGTCTACATGGAAGTTTGTATGAGCATCACTCAATCATCCTACAGAAGCCTACGATGTCCTCGCCTTAAAAGTCTACGATCATGCCAACGCGGTTCGTCCTAAGAAAGTTTCCTACAGGCACACTCAACTTCTTTTGTACCATTTTCACTTGATTCACCAGTTTTCAAACCAAATTCACCATTTTTCAACCAAATTCACCACTTTTCAAAGCAAATTCACCACTTTTCAAAGCAAATTCACCACTTTTCAAACCAAATTCACCACTCTTCTTAGACCAGGCAGTTCACCCACCAGATCACGCCAGACACCATTGCGAACCCTGCTCGACGGTGCCTACTTCTCAGCGCGATTTTCAACACATGGTCGACTCCGCACAGTCTTTAAAGGGTTTGTTGCGAACTTCGAAATTCATAACTTTTTCAACTTTTTAATTTCACATCCACTCTTTGCACAGCGAAGATACTCGTAACCGCGCATTCATGCTCCGGCAATTCAGGCTCCGCCCCCTTGGCCACGCCCACTTGCTTTTTGCGGAATTTTGATATTTTTCAAAATTTTTGCATTTTTGGACTGCTCCACGAAGCCCCGCCCACTGAGAGAGGCTCCGCCCACTTTGAAGAAGCCCCGCCCACTTTTCAAAAATGGTGCAGATCGGCAGTATAGAGCCTTGGCTTGCATGCTAGGGCCTCGTCCGTCACTCGGAACAAACTTTGCCTGATTAATTTGTTCCGAGTGACGGACGAGACCCTAGCATGCAAGCCAAGGCTCTATACTGCCGATCTGCACCATTTTTGAAAAGTGGGCGGGGCTTCTTCAAAGTGGGCGGAGCCTCTCTCAGTGGGCGGGGCTTCGTGGAGCAGTCCAAAAATGCAAAAATTTTGAAAAATATCAAAATTCCGCAAAAAGCAAGTGGGCGTGGCTAAGGGGCGGAGCATGAATGCGCGGTTACGGGTATCTTCGCTGTGCAAAGAGTGGATGTGAAATTAAAAAGTTGAAAAAGTTATGAAATTTCGAAGTTCGCAACAAACCCTTTAAAGACTGGGCGGAGTCGGCCATGTGTTGAAAATCTATGTCCGCGCTGACAAGTAGGCGTGACCGTCGGGGCAGGGTTCGCGGTGGTGTCTGGCGTGATTTGGTTGGTGAACTGCCTGGTCTAAGAAGAGTGGTGAATTTGGTTTGAAAAGTGGTGAATTTGCTTTGAAAAGTGGTGAATTTGGTTTGAAAAGTGGTGAATTTGGTTTGAAAAGTGGTGAATTTAAAGTGAAAATGGCATGTATGTCACGAGACATGGGCGTAAACAGTCAGCCATAGTACCTTTGACATTAGTGTGTACCTCCTAATTATCGTCACAAGGTGGGGCAAACCTAATGAACACTCTTGTTTTCCGCCCATTTCTCTGCCCATGAGAGGTGCAGACTCCATTTTTTTCTTTCCTATCTAGCACCTAGTACTTCCTCGAAGGAATATTCCACGTTCAGTTGAATAGGTTAATCATGCTGGCTGGATTGATTCACCACGACAGAGCTCTGGCTAGTTTTCGGCGCATTCGGCTTGGTGGGACAGTGAACGGTACCCAACAGCGCTTGTACAAGTCACCGTGTGATGATCTGTAAATCCCTCTAACCGAAGTGGCTCAGATGATCATTCCGCAGCTTCATAAGAGAGTCATCACCATAGTGAGACCTTTTAATTAACATGAGCTGGGACAAACGAATAATATCCTACTTTTTCTGTATTGGGTAGCAGCAGGGGGGCAAAGACGCAGAGACGCTCGACGTGCGTTCTAGGAACAAAATAAGCCCGAGCGTGAGTAACGCACAACACACACACACACACACACACACACACACACACACACACACACACACACACACACACACACACACACACACACACAACAACAACAACAACACAACAACAACAACAACAACAACAACAACAAGAACAACAAGGGCGAGAAAATCGAACGCGGTGCCAAACAATGGTCGTATAACAGCTGGCATTACATTTATACCTGGGCGGAGTTTCTCACGATCGCTAGCACCTGGCGCCCTTGTCGAACTTTTTCTATTCTTGAAGGGTGAACGAGACGTCTTGAACCTTTTTATGCTTATTCGCTATCGTGGAATGTGCCTTTGAATCTATCAAATGAAAAAAACAACCTTATGGTTCTTACAGGACGACCAGCAATTGAAATTATCTCCAACTATGAGCTCGAAGTTGTGGACATCCCAATGACACTCAGCATCCCACGGGATGAAAGACCATTTTTCGTAGCCAGGAATCCGCTACTCCCACCAAAAGTCATCCAAGATCTGCAAACGTTGTGTCCATCTTGCCAAATCTACGACCATTCCTCAAGTACGACCACTTCTTATCGATTCTAATTCGGCATACTGTAACCCTCATGAATCTGGTTTCATTACACCACATTCAAATGTTTTTGGCACTGCCGCTCAGAGGCACAAGGCACCGTATTTTGGTAAAGGTTGTGGCGGTGCCATATAGTGGAGGAAAAATGACGAAAACGAACTTAAACGGTCTAAAACCAAAGAAGCCTATGTCCTGTACGGCACTGGAAGAGCAATACTGGACGAATTTCCCATTGGTACCCTGTCAACAAGAGCTACAGATACTACTGCACGCATGCATTTACATATCCATGTGCAACGTTCCATATCGATTTTACTTCAAAAAATGAAGCAATAAGAGTATCAGCGTAGATGTGACTGTGCGACCAGGAGTGGGCGGTTGCGGTGGGCGTTGCAGGTGCGGGCCGGCATTTTGCACCTTGGTTAGAAGTTACGACGGTGCAATCGACTAGGAAAGGCGTCGCGCATCGCCTGATGTAATTATAAGTTCAGGATGTCAGGCAGTGGACCGTACCCCCGAAAATTGCGCGTGGGATCGATTGTGTTGGTCGTGGATGTACACAACGGGGTGCGGGATTATGTGGACCATTCATTTTCGGCGTGGGGTACTGTATGCCAGCGGGAGCCACTACCTGCCAGGGTCGGGCGGGTTGCAGCCCGGGCGGCAGCCCTTCCAAAGCCGGGTATGCAAAAACCGCATAACTTGATGTACTAAATGCACCTCAAACTCGGGTATTAACCCGGGGTACGGCGCGTTCGATTGCGTGCGTTCACGATGGAATATTTTGAACTTCACGCGCAATTTCGGGAGTATTGTACGCAGCCTACTGACAACCTGAACTTATTATCTTGTCAGCGCCTGGTAAGAGCACAATATTCGCTCGTGCTAGGTGTATCGACCTGTACGCCTCGTCAATTTGTCATGTCACTTGTATTTAATGTATGTTCACATCCGACACACGCACACATCGTGGCGCGGGAGGCGGTGAAGCAATCTTCAAGGTGCAATACTTCAGGGTGCAATGGGTGCGGAGCGATTCTTCCTTCCACTAACAGATGAAGTCATGGTGACAATGGTGCTTGGGCGTGGCGTGGAAATCATGTTGTGTCTCCACGGGATCAGCATATTAGATCTTATGCCTCACTAGGGTTACAGTACGCCGAATTGACAATAGAAGCAGAGGATCCCGCGCTAATACGGAAATAATGGTGAAATGTTCTTGAATTTCAGGTTGCAGTGCTCTAGGCATTGTCAGGAACGTCGAGTACCTTGTGAGACGATGCGCCGGACAACCTATTATCGCAACAAAGCCGGGTCTAGCATTAACGATTCCTATGACAGAAACTGAGGTGAACAGCCTATTCGTGGAAGTCATTGAAGCGCAGCTGTGCATAAAAGTGGACAGTTCTTCGGCCAGGTCTCTCGTATTCCCAAAGCTTCAACGGTGGAGGTCCTGCGCTCATAGTAAGCTTTCTTGCAAAATATCCTCATTTTCACTATGACTCACCCTTGTTTTTCAGACAAACCGGGACTCCTCATTACAAACAATCCAGATCTGACCACCTTGAAGTTCCCATCATGTCGGTCACAGTGTTTGCATATGGCTGTCATTAAGACTAACCCTCTACTTCCAAAACTGCAGATCGATCGTATTCGACATGTCTCCTACGGCAGCATTGTGGAATACGAACCACCAGGTATGTAGTAGAGACATGAGCATGCTTTTTAGGATTAGGCTTGGTTCAAGGCTGGGGTGGACTACTTCCTGTGATCCCTCAATCAACGGTGCTGAACAGATGGCAGGGATTTCATTCTTCCACACTGAAAGCATGTGGGTAGTGAATTAAGCCATTGCGGCTTTCTCGTTGATCTCCTTAGTGATACAATCGGGAGGAGGAACAAGTCAACGAAGAAGGCGCGTCGGTATTCCCGATTCTGCCTGTATGATCAGCTTGGGCAATATCTTAGAATGTAAATTCGGGAGAAATGCCTAGGATACCGCCAGGAAACGACAACTTGGGTAGAGAGGGATTTTAGGGCATCGACGTTATCTCGTCCCGCTCGCAGCGCTATTTTACGCGCATGTTGTCTTTGTTTCTGCCCTGTGCAATCACTATTCACCGCCACCGCGCTTACAGTTAAAGGCATTGGGCACGATTGCTGGGGACGGGTGGTTGTTGCCAACGTCATTGGTGAAAAGTTCGTCCCTGCCACAAGAGAAGCGGCGACACCGCCTCTCCACAGCCATCGTGCCCACTGCCTTCTAGTGCACGGACACTTCTCCTCCAATATCCTTATATGTACTGCAGGTGAAAATCGTTGAGGATATCTCAACTACAATCCACAGATTTCTCTAAAACATTTTAGCCTAACCCTAAGTGGAGTACCATCAGCGCTTCCATATATCTTCTTTTACGGCTTGTCCCTGGTGGAACCATAGGACACACTCCCGGCCCACGAATAGTTGCCCCACCTGTGTCCCTTGTCCTCAACCTTGGACTCAGTTGCCCTGTCTGAGTTAAAGGTAAGGGGCTTATCCAAACGTCTCCATTCTCATGCAATAAAGCTTGGGCTCAGACAACTAAATTAGCAGCTTTTCAGCTTGTGGACTCACTGGACGCTACACTGTTGAAGATTTCGTGAAGGCTTGCGCAGGCAAAAAGATGATCAAACAGCATCCGAATGTCCCTATCGTTATTGATTCATCGAAAGTGACCGAACATATGCTTAACAAGCTCTGCTCGCATGCTACGTTTATGGAAGTTTGTATTGTGATCAAGGATTCCACGTTCAAGAGTCTACGATGTCCACATCTTCAGTATATCAGACCATGTCAGAAAGGTTCGTTTGGAAGAGCTCTTTCCAACGCCCAGGCTCCTTCTTATTTTATTAAGCCATTGAAATCATTTTAAGTAATTGCTTTGCGAGATAATTACAAAACAAAAGGTGTTCTACAAGGTACATTATGAGTGGTTCATAGGGAACGCCAGCGGAAGAATGCTATATCTCCGACATTCTCTAAAAACGCCACAATCAATCCGCTAAGGATGCCGGGTTTCTTATCTCTACCAAAATTGAGGCTGGATTTTAACCAGGATTCTCGAGGGTAAATTTGGCCAAAGTCTGCATACTGTGAAAAATTTGGGCCCATAGCGAGAATATGGCGTCGTCTTACGATAACAAGAAATGTGCCCGGGCTAGAATCGCCGGAGCAACATGATTTTTTCACAGACCGCGAGCACTTGGACGCAGGCAATACATTTTTGCGCCGAGCCGATGTACAGGGAGTCAGGCATGTCTGAATTCCGAGCGGTTCAAGGGCTATGTAATGCCATATTTCATTTTGATTGTGTCTTTTGCAGGCAGACCAGTGTTTGAAATCGTTGATAACGTTGACTTGATCGACGTGGAAATATCTCCCAGAGTCAAGTACCCAGAAGGGGAAAACGTGATTGTCGTCAAGGGAAACACGAGACTTCCACCACGTGCAATCAATAATTTGAAGAAGATTTGTCCTTACTGCGAAATCATTTCGGACTTCTCTAGTAAGTTGAGAACTGAAACAGCTCTTCAAAATGGTTTCAACTTCTCAGGGAACTTTTATGGGGACCTGGGTGAAACGATCTGAGACCTCGTTGCAAACATGGAGATTGAAAGTGCTAACAAGCGCTTGGAAGTTTCCTAGCGTTTCTGAGACATCACCTTGCAGGAAATAGAGGACAAGGAGAGTTGTTCTGCCGACGGTCTATGAAGCGTTTTAGCTCCACAGACTGTCGCATCCGGCTTTGCTTCACGCCAAAAAACAGAGCATCATCTTGGGCCAGGGAAATATCTGCCATCGGGGCAGGACAGTCTTGCCGTTGCGGAAGTTTCTGTAGTATACAATCCCTTCAGAGTTGATCCTTTGCTACGACACCCTCTCCCACCACTTAACCCTCTACCTCTCCAAAACCCTCCTTCTGCCATTTGTTTTCTAAAAGTCAGCTGCCGTCGAGGGGGGGGGGAGTGGGGTTATGCGAAGGCACGCGAAACGAAAAAAACCTAGAAAAGTCAACAAGTGAGAACATTATCCGCGGCTCGACCTCCCCTCCTCCCTTCACCGACTAAATATATACGCCCCTGATCGCGGGGTACCCCTAACCTGCGACATGCCCTGATCGGGAGGTAAAGCCTGCTCACATGCTAGTGTATGAACTCCATGTATTTCCGCTCAGAAACCGTCTGGGGGATTCTTGTAGCACTCTGAATCTCCAGCTTTGCAATCAACAGAAAAGACTTCATCGACCTGAAAAAACATTCAATGATACGTGAGAAGTCGAAACAATCCATTGTTAGGGCCAGATTCTTCAGAAGGCGAAGTTTTGCAGGATGCAGTAATTTGGGACAAATCAGAAGTGTGCACGAATTCCTTGAACGATGCTCTGGAGAATCGGCCATCATCGGAACACCTGGCACTACTCTGGACTACAATTTCACAGAAATCCAAATCAATCGGCTATTTTCTGGTGCGAAGGTAGTCCGGCTGTGCCTTGTTCTTCAAATGACAGACATCACGCGTCTGATATTCCCAAATCTGAGACGATGGAAATCTTGTTCACCAGGTAAAGCTATGGTATGCAAAAACGCGCGTATTTGGAATAATAAGCTATGGTTGCAGCTAAGCCATCGATAACTGTTGTGGAAAACCTCTACCTCAACGATCTGCAGTTCCCGTCGTGTAGGGACCGGAGTTGTATTGACGGTATAGTGATCAAAGACAATCTGGAAATTCCACGAAAGCAAATTTCTGAAATCCACCAATGGTGTAGACGCTGCAAAGTGGGGAGCTACGAGCCAGGTTCTTACTTTATCACATGTATTGATGAAATCACAGACTTTCAGAGTTTTTGTTACTGCTGCTTGAGGGCACATTTAGCGAGAGTCAAACACATGGAGCAGAGGGGACACTCGCAGCCGTCCTGCTTTTGTCGCTCGCAACAGCGCTCGCTCTTTCTTGGATTCTTGTACCCTGTTCTTGATCGAATGCTCGCCCTTCAGTAACTGGAAGTTACTGGCCACGCTGAAGGTACAGAATTCAAGAATAATATTTTATTGATGGTAACGCTAAGTCTTGGATCTTGTCCCTCGGAGTGCTCACCAGATTGTCTTGAGATCTTGTCCTTGACGCCTTGAACGCTCCAGTAGGACTCCAGCCTCCCATCCTCCAATCGACCACTTTTATATGGAATCTTATGTTGAAGTATGTAAACATAATCGTATGTTAAGTTGCGCTTAGCGACACCCACTTTGTTTCCCCCGATGGGGAGCGTGCGGACGAAAGAGCATTCCGCGCGGCTTTGAATTCTACTTGCTTCCTGGCTTGCGGTCACACCAGTTCGTCCCTTACTTCTTGGATGGCCTCTCTTATTTTATCCTTCGAATCTGGAATCGTGCACAATGCTTTATGGTGTCCGTCGTCCCTGGGGATGAGGAACCGTAGAACTGTGGCCATCTGACGACTGTAAAAGCAGTGCCGCTTTACTACTTCTTCTTTTACATTTCTCGAGTAGGGTCACAAAAACCTACGCAGTAGTGCAGCCTTCGTGCGACGCGGTTTCTCCTGATATAGTGGTATCTGTCATCACCATGCACAAGCTCCGAGCACGAGTCGGAATAGTGGACTCCCCTAATTCCGCAGAAAGCGCACGTTATGTTGGGGTTGACACCTCTGGATGATTCTCCGAATCGCCTTTTTGGAAGCAATCGCAATCCTTCTTCGAGTTCTTTGAGATCCTGCGTGTTACACAGGGTGTTTACCCAGGTAGCGGTACTCATATAAGTCTTGAGCTGAGCTTCGACCTTCGCTGCTTCTTTCGCTTCTTATTTTGCATCCTCAGATGTGTCTTCTCGCCTCAATCGTTGCGGCACATCTCTCGTGAATAAGTTGGATTAGGTAGTCCTCATCCGATATTACTTTCACCTTCGTTGCTGTTTCCTCGGAATCGTCGCTATGACTCCTTTTTTGTTGCGGACTTCTCCTGGCTTCGACGTCGGCTCCCATCTGAACTTGAGTCTCTACAGATCTTGTTTCGATCGGGGTGGTCTGAATTGACGCAGCGGAGTAGTGCACTGATTTCTGAGCGCTCGAAGAATGCACGGCGTCTTTTTGGGCTGGAGTTTCAGTCTTTTCCTTCTCTTGCGACTTTGTTGCTTGGTTTAACTCGTAATTCATCTCGTCGATATTGCGCTCCAGCTTCCGCACTTCCTGGTCGACTAAAATCATGACCTCTTCTGCCTTATATTCATAAGTCCAGTTCTGCTGTTCCCACTTTTCTCTTCTACCTGGAGAGAGTTGACCACTCTTGGTGAGAGCTAGGAAAACGGAGTCCATGAGGAGATATCTTTGTGTAAGACGTACGATCTTGTCCTTGTCCACCTTAGTAGTTGCTGATCGCAGAAAGCGGTTTATGCGACGAGCGAGTTCTTCTCCTGTGATGTGTGATGTCGGTGCAGGTGGTGTTGATCAGGTGGTGGAACCAGGATTCATCGATATCTCTTGCCGCCTTGAGTTCTTGGTGTATTTCGTGGAGGGTTACACTCATGTCCGTTTCCAAATTTCTGTCCGACTGCGATTCTTGATGGAACGATGCGCCAGAGAAGCTGCGAAATTCAAGGTGGGCTATATCGCGCATTATGAAATCGAGCACTGAAACGATAATATCTAGGCTACGCTGGCGTTGGTTTTTATTATTAAAGAATGAGTATGGTTACAACAAGGAATATTTTAATCAATTATTTAACGCAAGGATCTGTGATGCTTACGTGTTGCTTTTAGTGTGCGCCTTTATATTTGATGTTTCGAAGCATTATGCAAAGCTGTATCACTGCGATTACCATTCTGGTGCGAGGAAGACGACATCCATGGGAGGCGCAATACGTAACCCTTATAAAAGTGGGTAGAACAGAATACGGGATAGCGAAATTAGTAAGGTGACCGAGGATGATGAGTTAGAAGCCGCGTATCGCTTACAGCGCTGCTTAATATAGCCACTGGAGAATACCAGTAAGCGCACTCGTTTAAGAGGAATACGGCGCATGGAATCTGCCCGAGTCATCTCGACTGTTGCGTGTTCCCGTGAGCCACTGTTCTAGGGCGGATTTCTTGTATATGGAACCGAGGTGAGAGCTTTGCGAAGAGCTCACCGTAGCTCAGAAATGATCGTCGGCACTGTTAACCACAACGGAACACTGAACAGGAGCTAAAGTGAATCTTGGGCCGCTGGAGAGAGAGAGAGAGTGTATTGTATGACACACTTATCGTGTAGAGTTGCAGAGGTACTTTGAGAAATCCATATTCACCACGGATCACTTCGCTTTTATTATTGTCTCGGGACATGTTGCAATCGAATCTCAGCGCTGCCCTATTATCGTACTGTGGAGGGACGGAAGAAAGCGCAGCCTTGCGAATAAACGTTACTGCGCGACTTGAGAGGTAGCATCATGATGGACATCCTTGCTTCGCCCCTACTGAGGTTTCTGTTAAGACAGGTAATTGAACTTGAACCAGTTTCAAGGCAGTGGTTGGGGCATGGACATTTGCCCTGAAATATGGCCCCGGCAAGGAGAGAGTGTGTCCAACGTGCCCACTTACAGCGGCAAAGTTATTCTCCTGTGACCGTAGCGGTATGGGAACTGGTGGAAGCTCTATAGCCTTTGGGTGCGGTTGGCTCATCTGCCCGTGGGCGATGTTGGCCGCATCGTGGGGTGGAGGAGACCCGGGGCACACTCCCACGCCCTAAGTGTTAATCGGGCGTGGTGCAAGCACGGTTCTATTGTTATTTGTCAAACGGACTGGCAACGACAAAAACCGCTTCCGTCTGTAGAAATACACCTCGAGACCTCGTCCATCTCCATTGCTCTGTACAAGATTCCCCGTCATCGGATTTGCATTAATCAAACAAAGACTTTCTCATGTTTGATGGGCAATGCTGCAGTGGCAGCGAACTCCGGTTAGCCATTCCATATCGGACCAAACGATGAGACATGTATCCAGCTGTAAATCTTCTCGAGGGCAATCCTAATGTGGCAACCTCGTCCAAAGTTTCTCCCTGTTTGAGGGCGGCTACGAATTAGCCAAGTGGAAGTGCAAGTAGGCGATTATATGTGGGCGATTTGGATAGCATGAAAGCGGTCGGTGGACAGAAAACCTAGTCTCTGAACCCCCTTAAACACCGCAGCGCGGGAGTGAACAGTGCTTGATGCTCCTGGTCAAGACTTCACTTCTTTACGGGGGTCTGGAACTCGCAGTAAAGAAATTTCAGAGTCAAAAAGCCCAACCTGTTTGTCTGTTTAGGCCGATGCACCAGTTTTCTTGGATTCTTGTACCCTGTTCTTGATCGAATGCTCGCCCTTCAGTAACTGGAAGTTACTGGCCACGCTGAAGGTACAGAATTCAAGAATAATATTTTATTGATGGTAACGCTAAGTCTTGGATCTTGTCCCTCGGAGTGCTCACCAGATTGTCTTGAGATCTTGTCCTTGACGCCTTGAACGCTCCAGTAGGACTCCAGCCTCCCATCCTCCAATCGACCACTTTTATACTGGAATCTATGCTTGAAAGTATGTAAAATAATGGTATGTTAAGTTGGCGCTAGCGACACTCTCGATCTCTTTTGTTGTGTTTAGAAGGGTAAAGCGATGAAGAAGGTGGCAGGTGCGTTAGACTTCGGCTTGCAAAGTGACCATCAAGCTCATACTTCTTCTACTTTCTGATACCTTTAGTTCTAGCCTGCTCAGAAGAAGCAGGCCCGTTAGGTCTATAGCAATGGAAAAAGAGGTTTCAGGAGCAATCTGCTCTTTCTAACTCATACTGAACTTGCGCCAACAACCAGCATACGAGCGGCAGCTTGATACAGTTATTGTAGAATGCAGTGCGGGTTCCTCTTAATGGGGTCCGAAGCCTGAGCAACCGCAAAGATTATACATACACGTGCGCACACGGCGTATATATGTGAGGTTAAGAAAGTTCTGTCAGCATTTTTTGTTAAAGGGCCCTTTTCCAACGACATGCGTGTAAGAGAGTGCGAAGAGAATGTACAGCAATGTGTTCGTCGCGGGCGTCCACTGCAGTTTTGAGGCACCTGCATGGATAGCAACACACATAGCTTACAATGCAGGTGAGTTGGAGCGCGAAGTGTGGACACACTCACACTCATCTGAACTCACTCTGTCGGGCTTTCTCCGTCCACAGAATAACGGTCGACGATACGGGGAGCAACTCAGCTCTTAAGAAGGAGCGTCCTAGGCTAAAGAGAGAAGAGAGAGCCGTCCAGCTCTACTGGCATGAGGTAGCGCAGCTCGAGTGGGACTGCTTTCTGGACGGAGTAGCGCTGCGAGGGCTATCATGAATAGGCTGGGACTGTCGGACAAATTTTCCCAGGGGATCGGTGTAAACGCGTGGTGCGTATGCATTAAACCGGGGGAGCGTTCTCAGCCAGCAACTTTCACAGACCCACGGAGCTCTCTCGAGTCTGGAGTTCACAGGTAACCACAAACACTGCCACTCACTCAGTTATACATAGGTAGGCTCGGCGAGCAGGTGTGAGAGCAGTGAAAGACTCCCGATGATTGAACAGTCGATGCGGCTCGATTCAGCTCGCAATTATTTTAGGCATCTGCAGCTATCATGCTGGCGTCAGGTGTGGCAGCAGAGAGTATTGAGGAAGCCTCTGGAGAGTTGCACGGGATAGGTCAGCGGATAAGCACTTGTCATATTGCTGAGGAGAAGAAGCAGGAGTCAAGCGAGTGGTACTAATAGAAAGACCACTCCTTGATGTATAAGTGCTTACATTACCGGTTACCCCTCTTGGTAATGGGCAAGTATTTTGAGTTCGGAAAAGTGTGACAGAACTTTCCCGCCAACCTAATAACTGCAACTTATTACCAGCAGCCTCCTCACCATCATTCTGCAGCGGTGGAGGTGGCACGGTCTTTGCGATTACGCACCGGACTTCTTGGGCAAGCAATGAGCCCTATGAACTGGTTGAGCGCAGAGTCTGCGTCCATACAACATTTAATTCTGTGACCGCTTTCATTTTACACATCCCAGTTTTTACCAATGGTACATTCCAAATCCCTGAGATGCGGCAGGCGTGGCTGCGTACTTCAAACTAAGTACGCAGCCACGCCTGCCAAACTAACTAAACGAAGCGGTGGGTGTGCTTTACTTTTAGCTTTGGGACACAAGTGATCATGTCTTTGTCCAGCACAGGACAAGATGACAGTTAATTCAAAATGAAACATCCCACGAGTAACTGGTCCTCTCCTATGTTCAAATGCTACGCCTACTCCGTCTCGGGGATAAGGAGTGTGAATGATCGTTGTCTACCTCGCAGTTTCTCAGAAGCGGAAAATACTATAGCTATACTATACGAATGAATTCAAGTAGAATACTGCTACTCAATTTTTAGCATGTGGTCTTGGAATCGGGCAATTCCCCACGAGACGACTCGTGAAAGCCTGCGCAGGGAAGAGACTCATCAAGCCACTAAACTGGATTATCGAAATCAACTCAACGGAAGTGACCGAATACGAATTCAACCAATTCTGTTCAAAAGCTATCTATCTGGAAGCTTGTATTACAATCGAGAGATCCAACTATAAAAACATACGATGCCCACATCTACATCGAATCAAACCATGCAGACCAGGTTGGTTTTCAGAGCATCTTACAGGCCCACACTCATTGCAATTGCATTATAGGTATTCCGGGCGCTAGCTCTATATAACTCTGCAACTCAGTGGTAGTGTTGTTCGCTGCGGATACTGGGGCGTGTCTGAGAGAGGCTGGGCTTGGCGCGGCGTCAACTCATTCTCCGCCAATTGTCGAAGCGTGCAAACAGCAACTGATTCAGGAAAAAGGGGAGCTGGGTTTGGCGAGCTGGAGCCACGCCAAAGCAAGCTTCCCTGACCAGCATCCGGGGCGAACAAAAGCGCATATTAACTCATGCTAGGACGTCGCACGATGTCCTGTGATACTTCGTTGAGGGGAAGGTGCTGCGAGATGAGGTAAAGACACTCCCGCAAGCGAGATGTGAAACGTTTCCGCGCATGTGGTGAATATGCCCACAATCGCAAAGAGTGCAGCACATGAAAGTAAAGCCAGGAACGACTGCGTGGACCTTGAGCGCCTTCACCGCAACAACTGATCGATTTCACTAACAACAGCGCCTTTGTTACCTGCAGGGCCGTAGGACGATTTCATTTTCATGTTTTACTTTCAGTGGCAGCGCTTGTGCTTCTGCTTCCTTTCGATACATTTTTTGAAGTAATCGCATGCACTCAGTAGCAGGCGCTCACGATTTATTCTTAGGGGTGGGGGGGGGGGATTGTGCCAAATCGCGTTTCTTCAGTTTCTTCGCTTAAAGGTAGACTTTGCTATGAATGAGCGAACAATAGCAGGAATAGCAGGAAACGTGGTTTGAAACCAAAAGTGTACGTACCTGACCACTCGACGTGCCCGTGAAGAAAAAAAGGTAGGAGAAATCTTTGAACGCTCCAAATAAGACCCTAGCTGTGTCAAGCGGGAGATAAATAACCTATGTGGATATCGGGCCAAAGGCCAGAGAAAGCAGCAAGAGAGCATGCAGACAAGTAAGACAGCAGATAAGACATCCATCAGAGTAAGCGGATAACTGACATTTTGGCGGAGCCACTAGAACAACCTTTAGCTGTAGCCGCTACCTCACCACTTTCTGAAGTGAAACTTACATGGATTGTTTAGTGCAGTCCACACTGTCTCCCCTATAAACAGCTTAGAAAATTATAAGTGAATCTGGGCTCTGCCTTGGATAAAACCTGAAACTTTTGTGAAGCCACAAATGGAGTTCGTAGTGGATGATGCAAGGAAAAGATCTGTGAGCCAGGAGATGCACATAGGCAGAAGAAAGTCGATGTTCTGACATGAAAGCAGCGTGTCCCATGAGCCCGTACAACGAGAAAGCCGAAGGGAGTTTTCACCAAGGGTTTCTATGAATCGTACACCTTCCCCCCCACTATCCGGCGCGCACTTAACACCACTAGGGGATCGTGCGACGCTGTGTCATAGTTGTCACGCAACGTGTTGCTCAGTGACCGGACTAGTAATATTTTGTACTCGAAATGAAATCCTTTCAGGTAGACCTGTATTCAAGATCCACGATAACCGTGAACTGGTCAACATAGAAATATCTAGCGATGTCACATACGAGACCGGGGTGAGAGTGTTCGAAGTCACTAGAAATCCGAAGCTCTCGATAACCGTGATCCACAGACTGAAGAAGATTTGCACCAACTGCGAGATCACAGCCTACCGGCCAAGTAAGTTTAAAAATGAAGTCCTCGTCGATAACGCTCAGCTAGTACCAGAGCTTTATTTCAGAATGCAGTAGACTGGGACATATCAGAAGTTTCGACCAGCTCGTTAGGCTATGTTCTGGCGAGTCTATCATCATCACACCACCTGGCACCATATTCAAGACCGGTCTGACAGAGCTTAAAATCACTCGACTACTTGCTGTCGCTGAGGAAGTTCGGATGTGTCTTGATATTCAAAACACCAATATCAAACACCTCGTGTTCCCAAAATTGAAACGATGGAAGTCCTGTGCACCAAGTACGTCACTTAATTAAATTGACGATGTCGCCAGGTCTGGTGAGCTTTTTGGAAACGGTCTCTTGCGCGATGAAGAGGTCCAGCATGAACCGCATAGATCAGGTTGATATTGCGTTGCGTTACTGGGAATGCCAAAAAAATGAGTGGAAGGAAATCGCTGAGAATATGCTATTTTAGCCATCTCACTAGCCCGGCGTTGAGTGTAGTTGTAGCATAGTGTGTATAGTCTATGACCCATTGGGCAGGAAAAATCAAGTCAAAACCCATGTATACTTGGCATTTACTGAGGTACACTGAAGATTGTTCGGTGATTCACCACAGCATCCTTTTCAGCACGCAGTGGCTATTTAGAGCCATGCTGGCCCCAAATACCTTGAATGTCCGAACAAAAGAAGGTGTAATTTGAAAATGCAAAAGTTGGTCTATAAGAGGATCCAAATCCACGAACTACCACCCGGTTTGCGATTCCATCGCGCTGTCCACCACATCATCCGTGCACTGACAATGTTAAGATGCGGGGTGGTGATACTGAACAAACTTCTCTGCTTGTCCAGGTTAGGTACTTGTCTTTTGAGCTTATTTTCGCTGCTGTCTCTTGAGCTTATTTTGGCTGCTTCTCACGCCTAGTTGAAGATCACGCCTAGTTGAAGAACACCTCACAAACTATGCATACTCAACGCTATAACTAGAAAAGAGCCAAACAAATGTTAACAATAGTCTAGGCAATTTCTTTTCACTCCTTTTTGGCATTCCCAATAATGCTCAGCGAAAATGAACCTCATCTGTGTGGTCCATGCATGGACCACTACATCATGCAACAAACCGTCTTCAGAAAGCTTCCCGACGTGCGCGATCTCCTTTGAGTACCTTCTACGTATAACTACTTTCAGACAAGGCAGCATTAACCATTGTGAATAATTACCATCTGAAAGAATTGCGTTTCAACGCATGTGAAGATAACAGATGTATTGAGCGCATGGTGATAAGGGACAATATAGAGCTTCATGAACAGTTCATTCAACGGATACGAAAATACTGCTTCAACTGCCATCTGAAGAGCTATGTGCCAGGTCTTTTTTTTATGAGAAACATGAAACCGTTTCCAGGAATATTATCATTGAAAAAGAAGGCGCGGAGATATGGGGGAAATACTCGTTTGTATACCAGAGCGATCTGCACTGAGGAAGCGCTTGGCACCGCAAGGCTCTAATAAATGCTCTGGAACCCGGTTGCCACAGCTTTATTCTTTGCCATTCGTAAAGGAAAACTCACCAGAGGGGCGAAGCGTATGCGACGCGTACATACAGTCGCCATCCTTGCACTTGATAGGGGCGTGTCGGCGAGAAGGAGCGTGCACACTGTTTGAAGCCTTCTCAGCCTTTTCGTTGAAACGCGTATGCGACAAAAAGTGATAGAAAACGAGTAACACGAAGGATATAATACAGTAATGTCACTCTCTTGGTTCAACGATTGGTGCAGTACGGGTGCTGACGACCGCGCCGCACGCAGCCGCACTGACATTGACTATCAAGTGCAAGGATGACGACTGTATAATGCCACAGCGACTCCGCGAACAGAAGGTGAGCGTCGGCATCACCGCGCTTAAGTTACTGTTGAAGTTCCACTGTGCTGCTACTTGTGAAAAAAGTGTTGCGCCCTCCTCCACCCAGTCCTTTTCATCACCAGCGCCTAGCGACGCTCTGCGCTGGGTGGTAAAAAGCTCTGTCAACGTTCATAGATGAGCGTCATGCTCAAGCCTTCTGATTGAAAGGACTCTTTGTCTTTTTCAACTCAATGTACATTATAGAGAAAATGTAGGAGAGAGTGGCATTGACGAAAGGTATACCCTGTTCATGTACCACCGGCATAATACCCTCAATGGCATGTGTCTCCCGTCAAAAGATGACATGCCTTGGCGACGCCCTCAGTGACGTTCGACGGGTCGAAGTTGAGTGTACAGGTTGAGTCGATGAAAGATAGCATGGAAAAAGAACATTCACGAATCTGCACCACAATATGACGCCGACGTCTGCAAAGTATGATAGCCTTCAGTGACATGAGCAAAGTAGACAGTCGTAGCTTGACAGCGTTGACAGATGTCTCCACTTCGCCATAAACTCAGAGATTAGAAGCGTTTGCTCTTTTTGCGAGGAAGAACTCAGGTATATCTCGTCATGGATCTTCCATGAACCTTGCCATCCTGTACGACGTAAACGACGAAGGTTCCCCTCAAACGGAAAGTGTCTCTTTTGTATCCCCCTCCCTCCCCTGTAAGTTTCGCAGCGATTATTGTGGAAACATCAAGATGTAGAAAGTTTTGTTTGGCATGCTACGGAACGTCCTCCTGACAGTATCCAGGAGTTGGGCCATTTTGACGGCTCAATGATGAGTGACGAGCGCACTGCGACCGTCACATGCTGAGAGTAGCGGCATCTATAGAAGTTGCTTGACCCATTTGGGGACGATATAAGTCACTATTCGTACGTCTACAAACATAGGTTGGATGCTCTGAGTTCGTCCTGTGGCAGGGACCACCCTTTGTCGAGCTTATCATCATCCCATTTTCTTATCCCTTTTCTCTGACATTTTTCCTAACAATTGTGTCGCGATACCTCATATACTAGTCCAGCCCTGTGACTCTAGTCGAGACATTTTTGACAGTTCTGTCCACTCTTCTTTTCAATGGCAGCTAGCAAGGATCTACATTTGGACCGCAAAGCTCATGAGTTGTAACCGCGGAATGTGCCTCCGCCATTTAGCACACAGTTGGGCAGATTCGAGTTAAAATCTCGTTGTATCACTTGTTTCACATCGCCATTTTATAGATATATGCGGTGCGCGAAACTTGAAGCTATAACAGGAGTCAGGCAATGGTTTACGTATTCGTCTTTATCTTCAAACAGTTCGCGATCGCCCGGCTGACGCCGAGCTCTCCTCCTTTCTCTTTAGCTCCGCTTCGCCAACCTGGCCCCGCTACGCCAGGCGCGCTCCATAATGAAAACGTAACTCTTTCAATTACTGGGCTGCTCCTACGGCTCCATAATGGTCGAATCGTATCATATAGAGCAACCCCGCAGATCCTGCACCCCTTGCGTAATAACGCCCACACAATACATAGAACCAAAGATATAGATCAAAAGTGCAGTCGAATACATCGCAATATGAAACCGCTATAAGAACAGCCCCCCCCCCCTCCCGCTTGTCGACATCGACATTGTATATAGGATAGTGGGATGGGATGAGTTCATTTCTAGTGCTATCAGAGAAGTGATGGCTGAAGGAAAGTTCGCTTACTGAGACTTTATTACTTGGCAGTGTAGTGGTCATAGATGTCGTGAGAATGTCCCCTTATCTTTTCTTATCAATTGATAAAATTGCTTGTCACCCGTCATCAATGTCGCTATCACTAAAACTCCATAATTTCGTGGTGTAGAGGCTCCAGCATTTGACTGAACAACAACTGCATCGTTCTCTATCAGCCCCTATCAGCTGTTCACTTCCTGTCAGCCTCCGTCGCCGTCTCCACCTTCCCCTTGATATCATTTGCTGAAATCAACGCCTAACTGATGCTGTGTCCCGCGTTATGAGTATGTTGACCTTCCCATTCTGAACTCCCCTTATCAAAGCAGCTCTTGTCACCCACCAATAATATCCCTCTGCCATAGTCTATATCATCCCTTGGAACAGATGCCCCAGTGTTTCAGTCGGATCGTCGGCTCCACTACACCTTGCCCCGCACGAGCACACGTCCAGCTGCCACGCAGCAGCTCGTGCAATGGCTCGGAGTGTACCGAATGGTTGTCTTATATAGCGGAGGCTGTTATCACAATCAAAACATTGGATTGATACATCCGCACCAATCGGTTACCGGTTTGCCTAGCGGTCGTTTTCTCCTCCCGCGAACTCGAACCCACATTCTGAAGTGAAGCATTCTGCGGACATACATACATACAAGCCTACATACCTACGTACAAACATACAAACAGACATACAAAGTTATTGTTTATAGAATGAAAGGATATTGGTGAATAGGTAGTCTGGGGTTCCCATCGCGCTGTGGATATGACCCTGTGCGCGCCACATGCACGTCGCCAGTGAGATTTCCTAATGAAATTCTTTTCACAAGCTCGGTTATCCTCTTCAAAGTGCTTCGTCCATACCAGCACGACAACCGATTCTGAATGAGAAACTTCCAGTCTGTGGTCTCGGAAATAGGCCAGTCACAGCCAAAGAGTTTGTGATGGCTTGTGCTGGAAAGCAGATCATCAAACAGTCATCACGCCATGAGATTACCATAACATCAACAGAAGTGTCCGAAGGAGAAATGAATCGATTCTGTTCCCATGCTGTTTATATGGAAGCGTGTATCGTCATCAGAAAATCAGAATACAGAAGCTTCCGTTGTCCTCATCTACTAGAACTACGATCATGTAATCCCAGTAAGTTCTCTGATACTCTGAGCAACCGTTTCTTATTGTTTCTTGATGCTCATCTGTTTAGGAAAGCCAGCCATAACAATTATCGACAACCCCAGGCTGGAAGTCGTGGACATTAACATGTCAGTGAAATACGAATGGAATCAGAAAATACTTCGAATCAGACACAACCCTGCTCTTTCATTTACCGTGATTGCTCGATTGAAGAGGATTTGTCCACAATGTGATATCGACGGAATCACCTCGAGTGAGCTGTCACTTAAAGCAAAGTCTCACTGAATCGTGTGAATTTCACAATTTACAGAATGTATTGGACTGAGCAACGTCGGAAACGTCGAGGCATTTATCGAGAGATGTGCAGGAGAGCCAATAATTACAGGACGTTTGGACATCAAGCAGCCATTGTCAGGGCTACAAATAACTCGCTTATTTTCCCGTGCTCGCGAAGTACAGATGTGTATCACCCTCATTGGAACCCACATTAGAAGTCTTGTTTTCCCAAAATTAACCCATTGGAGATCATGCAGTAGAGGTGAAACTTTTCTTTGGCATTTCACGGCTTTTAAGCGAATTAAGATGCTTGCAGATAAACCTGCTCTCGTATTGAGGAACAATAGGATGCTGACAAATCTGCGATTCCCATCATGTACAAGGCATGGCTGTCTCGAAAGTGCAGTGATCACGGGAAATCCACTCATCCCTGTGGAACAGATGAAACTAGTCAGTCGATGGTGTACCAATTGTGTCTACCTTCTACAAAACAGACACTCGAGAGTACCCACCACAAGATGGTTGGTCAGTCCAACTATGGGCACTATGGATATGCCAGGTGAGCTCCTCCAAACTCTTCTGTCATTGAGGACTACACTTTGTCTTAGTAAACTGGAGTTGATATCTAGGTGCTAACGCAAACCTCGCTGCTTGCCCAAGTCGACTTTTAGCCACCTTTTCCTATTGCATGCGCGCTACCTACATAGCTGGTTGAGTACCTTGCCAATGATTCCACTCAACCCATTTTTTGCTTTTTTTGAGGTAGTACCTGATCAAACGGGACCTGGTTCGTAACCCAAGGAGTCCATATATTGTCATTCAAAGGCAGTTGGCACGATGGTTTCCTACTTAGCCTAAAATGCTAGTAGGGCGCTGTATAGTGGGGAAATGGCGAAAGAACGGAGTGAAGTGGTCAAAATACTGCGAAAAAAGCCTCCGTTCTCAGTGACTTGAAAATCGATTCCGGACGAGTTTCCCGTAGGCATCTTGCCAATAAGCGCTACCGAAGGTATGGCTACATGCATGTGTACTCATATATCCGTGCAGCATCACGGCCTTCATACCAATCCCTTCGCTTCATAATTTGCTTAGCAAATGAATCGATTAGAGCGTCAGGAACGGTCGTCCATTTGTGGGCGGGCGGGCGTGGCGGGCGTTTGGGACGTAATGTTGTGGCTTGATAGGGCCCTTATAAGGAGCAACTACCTCGGGGAAATCGCTATGCAGCACTGCCCAGGGTCGCGGAATTCTATCCTGCCAGGAGTATTGATCCTAGTCGTCTTGGGGAATTTATCGTGCCTAACTGCTCCAATAGAAAGATGAGAGTGGCGCATTCTCGATGGTTTATACAGTATCAATAATGAAACTTTACTTTCAAGGTTCTGCATTTGGAACCCCATTACGAAGTGAGATTCCGCAAATTCTACTCCCTATTGATTTTACGTTTAAGGCAGTGTTTCGGGTTCTTTACAAAATCTGTACAGTCCATATCATTTCTTGAAAGGGGTGGACCTAGTTTCAGAGTACACTCAATTCAACAAACTGAATAACAGCCATGAAACCTTCAGTTCAAATCAGGCCAGCCCTTTTCAAGGTCGCCTTTATACTTTGTAAGTTGCTCCGACGGCGAACTTCCCTTTATGCTCCGTAGTACCTTCGCGCCATACAACACACGCGGGCCCACGGTTTAATGGAGTGAAGGCAGATCCAGTTTTATGGGACTGGGAAGACCCAAATCACTCGTTCCATCTCATGTTCGACCTTCTTGAAGACATGTCATTCACTAGAATTCAGTTGTTAGGCAATAACGTTCCTTTTCATTTCAATCGCGCAATATGACCGATTCATTGAAGGCATCCTGCGACTGGATGTGTTAGACATAAGAGTTCATAAAAGAGTTAAAGCAGTACAGTGCGTTGGCTCAATTACTAATGAAGAAGAAAGCATGACAAATCGCCTTCTGTGAAGCTCTTTCTTTGCAATTGACCGTGACCGTACCGGACAAGCGCAAGATGTCTAAAGTAAACTAGGTCCATAATATACTAGAGAGCGAGAGCGCTCATTGCTCGGGAGTTCCCATGTTTAATGTAGTGCTGCAGCCTGTGCGATCGCGTACCGTATCACCTGCTCATCTGAGGTGTCCTAGCCTTAATGAATGTAGACCGTACATTCGAAATCCCCTGAGATGTGGTAGTCGTTGCTGCCTACTTCAACTCAAACGAAGCGGTAGCTGTGCTTCTGGTGGAATGTTTTCGTTTTGAGAGTTGTTGTCATGTCTCTCTACAACACCGAATAAGATGACAGTTGTCTTAAATTGAAGTATCCCACGAACAATTCATTCTACGCTACGTTCAAATGCCACGCCTACTCCGTCTCAGGGATGGGTATACCTTCGAGTTTACGTTTGTATCACTCCTTTACAAGAGCAATCATACTCAGATCGTCTGGGAATTCCTGTACTTTTGAAGCTATGCTATATAATAATGTTATGAAGGTGCGACACCTTCTAAATCGGTACTGATAATCGTATTTGCGTTGTACTGAACTTCTCTTTATCCACCTTATAGGAGCCACACTTAAATTCTCATTGCCGTCTACCACCATGTGTTGGGACAATGGGGCATGGCGACGTGATAACAACAGAATGTGATCTCACACCGTGTGCGACTTGGTATTTCTCACTCTGGTGTCTCGCTCGTACGCGCAATCTCTTCTCTCGAAATCCCTGCTGCTCGATAACAATCGTATAATTTCAAGCGTCCTTGACTTTTTTCCTGCTTTCCCTCGACGACTGAGTTACTTAACACGTTCGCAGCGGCGGCGTTTCGCCAAAAACTCCGTTTCTCGAGCGACGCGTTCGCGGCAGGCAACACTTAGGCAATCGTCCCGTTTATGGTTCAGCGCGCTCGCGACGGATATAACTTTGTCAAAACTCACTAAAGTCGTTTTTTGCCATCCTTTCTTACATTTTTTCCCTTCTACAGATTTTATCTGATTTTCGGTAAATGAACTAGGTTTCTTGCCCCCTTTGAAGTTGGCTGGAACCGGACAAAGACGATGTTGATATCTTCTTAATATTAATATTAATATTAATGTGTGTTATCTAATGTTGATGTTAATACCTCTTGATATTACTTTTATGTCGTCTATTTTATTATTTGTATATAACTGCCAGTGAAAAGAAGAGAATTGAAATCATAAAAAAAAAGTGAAGTGGTGCGTGTACTTCTGTGAGTAAGACATTGGCCAAAGAGAAGAAGTTTTCGCGTGTTTTTTCGGAGTACACGCCTCTTCTGATGTGTGGATATTATTTATCTATTGTTTGTTTTATTATCCGTATATAATTATTAGCGAAAAAAAATATATAGCAAAATCGAGCAAAGAGGCGCGTGTACTCCTGGGAATACACGATTCACTCGAAGAGAAAATTTTTTAAGTGTTCTTTCGGATGTACGCGCCTCTAATAATGAATGAATATTGTTTCTCGATTTTTGTTTGATTGAAAAGAAAATACCAAAAACGAGCGAATAGGCGCGTGTACTCCCGGGAGTACACGATTCGCCGGAAGCGGAGTTTTTTGTGTACTATTGGGAGTACACGCCGCCGCGAACGTGTTAATATCGCAAAAATCGTATTCGAGCCCTGAAGCTCACAGGTTGTAGTCACAAAATGTGATATCAAACTTTCACGTTCGACATTGATTCTGGCCAGCTAGAAAACATGTTGGCATTCTGATCCTCTCGGACTAATCTTATGCCGAGAAACCGACTCCGGAAAAATGGAAGGTTTCATCTATCCGAGTGAGAATCAGTCCGAAATTTGATCCCTGTACAAAACAAGTGGTGGTAGCTCCACTTGTCATTCTCTTTCATCCTGAGCACGAATGTTTGAATACATGTCGAATGACAACTGAATATGTCCTACTGTAAGTAATTTATGATCACTGACATACAGCCTCTTCAGGTCCAAATCCACGCACCTGTCGGCTGGAAGGCCGCATGTATGATGACAAAGAACTGGTCGCTACTTGTGCTGGTGCCCAAGTTATTAAACCTCATCCCGGCTACTATCTCACCGTTTCGTCTGAAAAAGTGTCAGAACAAGAAATGAACGCCTTATTCTCAGAAGCCATTTCCGCGGAGATCTGCGTAATTGTAGAAGACTCCAATTACAGAAGCTTACGGTTCCCACGTCTACGTAACATACAGCCATGCTTACCAGGTGAGTACAGTTCACAATCACTTCCCTCCGACATTTGTTTGACTGACGCGCGCACATGCTTCAGCCCACGGCTGTGACGCGAGTTGTGAATTAGTGACCCTTTTCTAAGGCCGCTTGCTAACTCTTGTATGCTATTATCATTTCCTCCACCCACCAATGATGTTCACGTCCAGCCCCCCCCCCCCATATACTTCTTAGAACCATTCTACCATTCCTGTAACGCAAATTATGAATCTAATGGCCCTCCTCTTTGAAGGCCCTGCCAGTCATTGTCAGCTGTTTCCTGCCACTCACTAATTATGTTCATGTCCAGCTCGCTACATCACTTTTCGGAAGCAACACTCCACGTTGCTGCGATGCGAGTTTGAATTTAGTGACCCTCTCTTTTTAGATTCCTTGCCACCTTTTTCCAGCTGTTATCACTTCCACTAACCAATGACGTTCATGTCCATACGCTTATATCACTTCTTGGAGTCAAAGTTTCACCATTGCTGCGACGCGAGCCATGACCCCCTTGTAAGCCCTTGTTAGCAGTTATCACCTCGTGCCACCCACCAATAGTGTTACTGGCTGATCTCACAACACTATCTGTCTGAACCCTTTACGACTAACTTGAAGGGAGTTATGAATTCCCGGTGTCAAACTCACTCACACATATAACCTCGTCATCCGGGCAGTTGATTAGGGCGGTCGTCAACGGGCCGCAGCGCGTGCCAGGAACTATTTGCTTTTCCAGGCT